CTAACATTTTAAAGATTTTTGCATCTATGATCATGAAGTATATGAATCTGTAATTTTTTAAGAAGTTTTTGCCTTAGGATGTGTGCACTTGCTGAAGAGACAGACAGTGAGATGGAAAATGAGAAATCACCACCCAGGGAGGATGGCCATGCTGCAAACCCTTCTCCTCCTGGGTTCTTGAGCATGCACACATTTGTGTCCAGCATGATTTTGGTCACTGGGCCCAGGACTCAAACCATGGTTGGCCATGTGGAGTCCAGCAGTATAACCACTACACCATCTGCTGGCCTCTGTAATTTTCTTTTAATGTCTTTGTTTGATTTTGGTATCAGAGTTATATTAGCCTAGTAAAACTAGTTGAAAATTCCCTCCTCTTCCACTTTCTGAGAGAACTTATGTAAAATTGGCATTATTTGTCCTTAAATGTTTCATAGAATTAACTATCTAGGCCTGGAGTTTTCTTTGTGGGAAGGTTTTTCATAACAAACTTAACTTCCTTAGTAGATACCAGCTCTGGCAGGTAGATTTAAAATGGCTGATGATAAGTTTATTACCTCTCAGCTCTCCATTCACCGGTCAGTGTATGCTGTGCAATAAACAGAATTCACTGATGCATCTCTCCTTTGCAGTGAGTGCAATAACGTGCTCTCTCAGTAGAGGGCAGTGGAGTGACACTGCTGTTTCCCAGGCTCATGGTAGGTCAATGATGTTAATGTAAGGACATCTGGGAATCTCTCCAAACCCCATCTACTGGCCCAGCACATGCAGACCCTTGGTGATAACTGCAGCTTCAGTCTGGCCTACCAGTAATTTTCCCGTGGCCCTCTACCCAGACATAGGTTCCCTGAAGCCTTCCTGACCTTCACCCGGTTTCAAAGACCTCCTGTATGCACTGGTGTCCGTTTCCTCAGCCAGGTCCTGTGCACCTTGGCTGCAGCCCAGAGAGCAAGTAGTTACTAATTCTACCCTGGGCCAATCAGTAGAACTTTCCTGTCCAGTGGGCTGAACTACATCTTCTCTAAGGAGATCAGAATCCCCACTTTGAGAAGAGGGCCTCTCCAAGTTTATCCTTTCTTAGCAGGTATCCTAATGGTGTCATATGGAATTTCCTTTTATCTTATGCTTGTTAGTTCAATAATTTTAAGTTTCACTGTAGGGCTCACCATAGAGATGGGGGAGGGTAGAGTGAGAAATCACCCCCCTGGGGGAATGGCCATGCCACAATCCCTTCTCCTCCATTCTCTCAGGATTTGGGGCATACCTAGCATATTTCCCATGCCACTGGTTCCAGGAATTGAACTGCACAGTTGGCCATGTGGGATCAAGCCAGCTTGACCACCACACCACTAGCTGGCCCTATTTGAATGCTTTAAACTTTCCTCTGTATAACCTACTGCATAGTTCCTACTTCCTGACTGGACACAGATTGATAAAGCTCCCAAGACCCTTGCCTGCTGATATTCATGCCCATGTATAATCCCCTCCCTCTTGGTGTGTACTTTAGTGACTTGCTTTGTGGATTAGAACACCACAAAAGTGATGGAATGTGGCTTCCAAGATTAGGTTGTAAAAGATCTAACTTCTTTCAGGCTCTCTGGCTCATTTTGGATAAGCCAATTTACCGTGTTGTCAGCTACACTACACAGTCTCATATGGCAAACTGATAATAGCCTCCAGCTAGCAGACAACAAAAAACTGAGGTCCTCATTCCAACAATTCCAAAGAAACCAAATCCTGCCAGCCATCATGGAAGCGAGCTTGGAAGCAAATCCTTCCCCCTTGAGGCATGAGATAACCATAATATAATGCAGCCAACACACCTAGGTTGCATGCAACCTGAGCGACCGACTGAAGCAGAGGACCCTCTTAAGTCACATTCAGATTCCTGAACCAGGTAACTGCAGTGATACCACAACTGGGTCCATGTGGGAAAGGTCCTGGTTCATGCCCCAGGACCTCTCTGAGTATGCCAGTGTCATGTATGACAATGATCTGGACAAAGGAGCCTGAGGGTGGTGTTAAGATCCTGTTGAAGGCATCTCTCTCATGGAAGAAATAAGCTTAAAAAAAAAAAAAAAAAGTACAGGTTCCTAATCCACAGAAACTGTGAAATAATGTGTTAAGTCATTGAGGGTTATTTAAATTTTCCTTATATCAATTTAAGCTGTACTTTTTAAGGAATTCAAGACATTATAGTCTAATTTGCTAATTTTCTTCAGACAGAACAATTTACTTGCTCAAAAAATACTGGGTAGTGGGAAAAGTCATGGCACATTTTTTTGCATAGAAAAATACGTCATAACTTTTCCTATGACCCAATACTATTTTATAAAGGCAACCACACAGTGGTTGAGTGTTTTGGAGAGCCAGATCCCATATGGTTGATTAAGGTTTGAGTCCCAGCCTGGCAGCTTAAAGAGTACACCAGGCACATGTGCATGCCCAGGGTCCTAATAAGATGGAGAAATACAGGAAAATAGATTGCGGTTCAATCATGCCCTGCTGGGGAGTGTTTCTCTCTCTCTCTCTCGCTCTCTCTCTCTCTCTGGTGAGAGCACTCACCCACTGGCTACAACAAACAAACAAACTTGGGAAACAAAATGTATATCCACACAAAACAATATATACAAATGTTCATAGCAGTTTTATTTGTAACAGTCCAAAATTTGAAACCCAAATGTCCTTTGATGAGTGCATGGTTAAACAACTGTGGTACATCCATACCGTGTTTACTATTCATCAGTATAAAGGTACAAACTGGTAATAGATCTAACAATTTTGATGGATTTCCAGGGAATTATGCTAAATGAAATGAAAAAAAAAGCCCATCTCAAAAGTTTATAAACAAGAATTCCACTTATGTAACACAGAATGACAAAATTACAGAGATGAGTAACAAATTAGTGGTTGCCAAGGTTTAAGGATGGGAGAATGGGGTAAGGTAGGGAAATGGATGTGACTATAATAGCATGAGGGGTCACTGAGATGAAAAATGATTATATTTTGAGTAGTGGATCCACAAATCTACATGTGAGAAAGTTGCATAGAACTGCACATACACACACTCAAATGAATACATGGAACCTCTGATATCTAAATCAGATCTGTGGATTGTTAATAAATGTTAACTTCCTGCTTTTGTATTATTATACTATAGTTATGTAAAAATGTTATCTCAAATGCAATCCTGTGAAGGATGTGGTCCTATTATTTTTGCAACTTCCTATGAATCTGCAATTATTTAAAAATGTTTTAAAAACTATTTTGGTTGATCTTATCCAGTCTCTTGGGTTTAACTATTTTAAATAATCCTCCACCCCCTCATTCTCCATCCAATTCTCACTGAGGTTGACTTTAAAGAGCTGAAGAAAGTGAGTCACCTAGTCATGAAGGTATCCCATGGATATTGTGGATATTTTGTTAAAGTGCATGAATGTTATATTAAAAGGTATTAAATATAAGGAAAACACAATCTTTCTGGACTTTCATTTTCTTAAATTTCCTTACTTATCCATGGTTATTCATCTTCCTTCTTCCTGATCTGAATAGTCACATGATGGCTTATATAAGATTACAAGTTTTATAATGTCTGTTCTAAGCAATGGGGTACAGGGTTTTAAGCCAAATTTAATCCCCTGTAATGTGTATATATTCTATGACATCCTAGACAAATCTTGTTAACTGCCCGTTCTTACTTTTCAAATCCATCTTTTCGCCTTTCCCACTTGGCCATGCTTTACCTAAACTGACGATCTGCTTTCTCAGCTAGACTATCTCCAGCTTTATCTTTCACACTTCTGCCAAAGGAGTTTCTCTAAAAATCCCTAAATGTTCACATTATCTAAATTCTAAGACTCCCTACTAGGTCTCTTTACTATCAAAGTCCTTCATAGAGGTCCCCACCTACATCTAGTTGTGACATGGGGGAAATTCTGAGGTCTCTGTTTTCTTATCTACAAGTGGTAAAGGTGATGGTCCTAAGTTCTAATACACTTAACACTTAGAACTGCAGGAATATTTTCCACACTGTCCTTCTAGAGAAAGGGCTCATGTTTCATTGACTTTTAACATAAGGACCAGAACAGGCAGGGACTGAGTAAATGAATAAAACTATTAAAAGCCCAGTGAAAATGGTGTTAAGATCCACCCAGGCAAGTCTCTTATTCATAGTGAGGGCCATAGAACTGTCTTCATACTTCTTTTTCTTTAATTTTTAGTTTTGCTACAGGATGTGTGCATTTAATGGAGAGAAACTAATAAATCTCCCCCTCCCCCCAGGTGGGATGGCCACACGCCTCTCAAGATTTTTGGGTACACATGCAACGTGCACCAAGAGTGTTTCTCAAGCCACTGAATCTGGGACTAGAACCATGAAGATGGCCATGTGGAATCCAGCCACCTTAACCACCATGCCACCTGCTGGCCCCATACTTTTTCTGTAATATATTGCTTCGTATTATTTAGGTATTTGTCTTATTTTCTCCACTAGACAGTAAATTCAGTATTATATACTTCCTCATCTTCCACAGAGAAGTTCTCTATACTGAAGGCCCAGCTGCAGTGGTACAGGTGCCACTATACAATACTGGAGCCATATGTGAGGTCCACGTTTGAATTCTAGGTTGACCTGAACATGCAAGGTGTACTTGTGCACACCTGCAATCCTGACTGGACTGGGGGACTGGGAGATGGACTGCATGTGTCAAGAGTCTGTCAAAGGTACCTGGCTTGCTCATTCTCTCTCATGAAATGAAAGAAAGAAACCTAAAAAAGAAAAGAAAGGGAATGAATGAATGAACTGACAGAATAAGGAATACTTCAACCTTATGGCGTTTATTCATTTCTTTCAAATTATCCCCAAAGATATATAGATGAGACAGATGATTATTTAAAATTCCAACTTCCTTAAAATGCCCTGGTAGCCTTGCTAGGCCAAAGATATAACAAGAAAATCAAGATAATTAAGATATACCATAAACTTAATATTGACACTAAACAACTTTTAAGGTGGACAAATAATTTTATTTTGTGCATGCAAATACATGTCAAGTACTGCAAACTTTTTCCATCAATTTTCTCTCAAACACTGAAAATCATGATGCTCTATTTTGTGAACAGCCAAAGCTAATATCTCTTCACTTCAGTGCTACGGCAAAAACACACAGAATTCACTCTTTGCTATTCACTATCATCACAACCCTCATTGTTCCATCTCTGCCCTCCCCCCATATACAGGCCTTATAAGTCCTAGCCTTCCCCCATTTAATCCTATTCCTATAGCACAAAGGGAAACATTACAATTTGGAAATTCAAATTGAAATAAATGGAATAGAATTTATTCCCATATATATTCCCCATTTCATTGTACAGAATTATTTTAAATTATAGTTTTAAATAGAAGCTGAGTATATGCCTTAAAAATGAGCATTAAATCCATCTTAGAGATGGTGCCTGCTTTTTACATGATGGGTGTACACCATCTTTAATTTCATTTACATTTCAATCGAACAATAGATTTGCAAAGAAAATGTCTAATACAGACGTAAAAATATTCACACTAGAGCTTCACAATCGGTTGTACAATTGACAAACAGGCCTCTTTTCCCAAACTTTCCAGCTAAGCAAATTTATAAAATGTAATCAATGCAACAAGAAAAACATTTCTCTTTCACTTCCAGGGAAAAGAATATGCAATAAACAGTATAAATGCAGACAGCAGTTGCTGCGAGCTAACCACGATACTCCCAAGTGGCTGTACAGTGGATATGTGCAGTACAAATAAAAGCCACGTGTGTTGTATCACAACTACAGTATAATTGTTTGCCCAGCTAAGAGAATGCATGCACTTCCATGCCTTGGGTTATAAAGTGAGGCCTAATTCTTGACAGGTTGATGGAATATGTGCAAATGACCTTGGCTTTTGGCAGTACTAAGTGCAGCCAGTGTCTGTGTTTCACTGGTTTGGGGACATTTTAAAATTTTGTTTTTTAAAAAAAGAAAGAATCTTTCAATTTTGGATTTGGGGGAATAACTGCTCTTGGAGTAAAAATAAGACTCCACGCAAATGTGGGGTGTTCTGATCCGTGGCTTTGACTCCTTGTATTCCCTTGCCAGCAAAGGGATACAAAGAAACCACTAGTATAAAGGAGTTACCAGCAAACTTAGTCAATTTATCCAGAAAATGAGATACTCTTTGAGCATGTTCATTTGTGTTCTGCTTGCACAGGGGTCCTTAAAGAGAAGGAGTTACAGTAAGTGATCCCATCAACACCCTTTATTCACTAAAACACAAGAAAATTTCTTCCAGGAAATCTAATACGTAGTTGCAATGCAATTTTTCCTTTTAATGACAGTTACAAATACTGGAGATGGTCTGCTTAGAAAATGACTTGAAGAAGCTAGGGAAGAAATACTCAAAGTTGAAATCACATGCTGAATCTGATTGTTATAAATTTCACTGTTGTTAACAAGACAACATGAGCTTTAATATCTAAAATGAGAAAGCAAGCTAGATGGTTATTAAAATAATATTTTCAAATGTTTAAAGGGTTCCATTTTAAATTCCTACAAAACTGCTTATGCATCATTGTAATTTTCTTAAGGCAGAATATAAAATTGGGATGTGTTTTATATATTTAGCATCAACTTAAAATCTGAGTGAAAGTGACTAGATCCATACAAATGGAAAATTTCAGTTCTAATATGGAGGCTTCTTTTATTTTCTTTCTATGGTAATGGCTCCTAGGGGAAAAAAATCAGTGCCACTGGACTGATGAATTATCTTCTCTTGAAAATTACTGTTTATCCATAGCATTGAAAATAATAAGTCATGGCAGCAAAGGCAAGGCAATCTGCTTTGTTCAGGTACCAACTAGAAGAATGCATATGTAACTCTCTCTGGATTCATAAAATGAAATGAGATCACAAAAGACAACTACCACAGTATCTGAATGAGGCACATGGATTTAAAAATGGGACTTAGAAAATCAAAAAAAGAAAGAAAGGAAAGGAAAATATCACTTTCCTGCTTTCTAGACCTCAGACTACTTTTTCCTGATTAGACCACTGGCAACATATGCAGTTTAGTTACCAGTATTACAAACTTCTCTCATTCTGTATCCTGATTCTAAACACACATATACTTCACAACCTGCAGACAGAAGGGTCAAATAATAAGAAATGTCCCCAATTTTAACAGTCATGTTGAGGTCTAGTTTGTAATATTGTCCTCTATAATATCAATAGGTACCATTGTGAAGAAGGAACAGATGAACAGCTTTCTTCTAAAGTAGCAGAGAACCATCCAATGGCTTTACTTTACTTAAATCCACCATGACAAACAGAGGTGGTCACTACATAAAGAATGCAACACAGAATAATCTCACCATAGAAACAATTCCTATGTTGTTAGTGAGAAAAAGAGTAAATTTTAAAAAACAGAGAGTCATTGTTTTATGGGATCACCTGCTGCAAGACAAGCATTATTTTAATATAAATATTCTGAGACATACCAATAAGGTTGGCAGGTATATACATACACTGATGCAAATGTAATTTCACTGGACAAGTAGGCAAACACCTAAGCAGTTTATCCCAACCCCCTCCAGCAGAGCACAACCAAGTTTCAAAATTTCAATTTTAAAATTAAAAAGATAAGGTTAAATACACAAGATCAATTTATGTAGTATATATTCACCCTCAGAACGTGCTGAAGATGTTTTGTGTAGTTCTGTTGCACAGAGGGTTCTTTCCCTGAGGGCACATAAGGAGCTCTCAAACTGTTAATAGGTCTCTATTTTGTAACAAAATAGCAATTTTAAAATCTTAAAAAAAAATACATTACCTTCAACATGGAAGATCTCACTATTAAATATCCATGAAATAGACAGATTGGTTTGCATATCCTTTTTGGAATTACAAACAGCAAATAAAGTACATTGGAAGCATTTCAAATGTAAAAAGCACATATTTATAGAAAGGTTCTGATATAAATTATATAACAATCATGTTCCTGCAATATCCTAGGCTAATTTATAATGTCAGAAATAAGTTAATGTAACATGGTTTAAAACTCTTGTTCCTATTCATTTCAGGTTACAGAGTGAAATAAATAAAATGCATTGGTAAGGATGAGGAGCACTGGCCATGGCAAAAAGGTACAATACTAACCAAAGGAAACTAAGTCAAGGGTACTGTGCTGTTACACTACAAACAAACATCTTCATACACTTGAGTATTAAATAAATGTGTAAGATCTTCCATACTGACACCAGAATATCAAAACTACCCCTTTGTTTCTCAGGTATATTTACAACTTATCAGTCACCTTATGAGCATGTTCATTAAGACAGGTATCAAACACCAGTATTTACTCAATCTGATCAAGAAATTTCAGGGAAATGTTAACCCTCCCGCCCCTGGAAATGTGCACAAAACTGTTTATCAAAATCTTATCTGATACAATGCTGTGGTTTTGTAAAACAACTAAATAGCTCAGACGACCAATAACATGATCCTGTTTAAGCATCTTGCTAGCAGGAAAAGCCCTTACATACAGTACACCTGGTGAAAGATCAGCTTGGCTTAAAATATTCCAGTACAATTTTCAGAGTAAACAACTTCACAGAAGTTAATTAAAAAAATAATAATAATACAAGTCAAACTAATCTTAAAGTAACAAAGAAAAAACAAAAAAACTACAGATAAGATCACCAGGAAAGAATGCCCAGCTTTTGTTGCCAATGTTGACTGAAATTTAGGTTTCAATAAAATACTTCCCACAAATTTGGGGCATGGCTGTGTGAACATACTGCATATTTTGAGATGCCAAGTCAAAACAATTTCAGTCACATTTTAGCAGAGCAAAAATTATTCATTAAGTATGAATACATGTTACACACTGTTCTATTACATGGTTCATAGTTTTATCAACCTAACAGAAAAAAAAAAAAAAAAAAAAGAAGGAAAATTAAACCCCAACATGAAATAACAACAAATAATATTTAACCAAGATAATGCAATGAACATCCAAATTAATTAGTTTAAATTAAAAACCCAGCAATACCATCTTGTTAGTCAGTGCAAACGCTACATACAGGGTTTTCTCAAGAAAGCTGAAAGCACCTGATTCTTTTGCCAAGTCATCAGATTCAATAATGTACAGGCTTAAATCTGCATTTTAAAAAACTGCCATTACATTAGTGCATAATTTATCAAAATTGTAAAAACGATTCTGCATAACTTAGGAGAATTTAATATCTAGTATATCAGCTGAAAGACTTAGGCACTTGGTTATATTTTTAATTAATTACTCAACAAGTAGCCTGTGTATAAATATTAACAAAGCAGAAACTATTCTTGAAAAATGGAGAATTAAAAAAAAAATTAAATGTTACAGATAAAAGCACTGCACCACACTCCTACATATAATGCAGTAAAGAAAGCTAGTATATAACCCTGTAAAATTCTATGGTAAGAACATCTAACTCCACTCTTCAAAAGAAGAAAAGAAAAAAAGGAAAACAAAATCCATGCAAAGTTCCATGAAAAAGATAAATAAAGCAGCTGGAATGAGATGGAAATTTCTCTCAGTGAAACATAAAATAGAAATAAATAAGTTAATTAAGTCTACTTTCACTAGATGTATCATTGTAGGATCCTGCTAGTTTAATAACTGAGTTGTTAATTTTCTACAGAAGCCATTTAAAATAGGAAATGGCTCAGTTACTGCACCGGATTGCTACAAACTCATAAAAAGCTGCTTGAAGCTTAAGTTAAATGTTGTCCAGATTCCAATTATTTCTGGAAAGTGAACATGTTACCCTAGTAAAGTAAATTTTCTTTTTTTTATAATGCTAATGCAAGAGGGCTTGAAGTATCAAAGAGTCCACAGGAAATGGATGCCCCCAGTAATATCTTTTTTTTAAAAAAAATATACATTATATAATATATATTATATATATAAAAAGCTAGTGTAAATGCTTCCATGGTGTGGTCACAAATTTGAAAGATGAATCTCCTTTCAGCTGTTAACCATCTTCCCATTTGCAACAGGTTTTAAAAAGTCATTTTTATCTTCAGACATAACATGAGTTTTCAGAATGAGGTTGCCAACACTGACAGATGTGGTGATGGGGAGGCAACTTGCATTGCTAATAGACACTGGGAGTTTCTGGCTAAAGCAAGAAGTTACCGGCAGAATTGCTTTTTGTTCTTCCCTGAGAGAAAATAAACAAGAGTGAAAACAAATTAGCTTTAAGTGAAAACATCTAAGAGTAACCATACATCCTTAATAAATGTTATATCAAATGTTAAGAGCAAAGGCCTATCTTTACACTAATAAGTATCAGAAGTCACTAAGAAAGTCCCATTTTCCAAAAATTATAATAACAATAATTAAATACTGGCAACGGCTAAATTTTCAAGCTCAAGATTAAGCCAATATTTTTGACAATAATTATACAAAATGGGAATAGCCAAGAAAATCTTAGAAAATCTAAGAATGGTTTTTAAAGAGAAATTCTTTTTTTTTCTCTCTCTCTCTTTTTTTTTTTTGGGAGAGATTTTCGCTATAGGGCGTGTGCGCTTGTCAGACAGACAGAGACAGACATAGAGACAGAAAGTGAGAAATCACTCCCCAGGGGGGATGGCCACGCCGCAATCCCTTCTCCTCCATTCTCCTCTTGGGATCTTGGGCACGCACGCACACGCGCCCGGTGTGAGTTCTAAGCCACCGGGTCCAGGACGCGAACTACGGTCAACTACGTGGGAGTCCAGCGACATAGCCATTATGCTAACTGCTGGTTCCTTTAAAGAGAAATTCTTAATCTAGGTTTTAATTCTCCACTTTGTAGTTTAGAAGTCTATCAGACTGATGAAATATAACCTGATACTGGAGCACAGGCTAACTTTATCCCAACAAAAAGCAGTTTCAAGCTAGCAAAATGGATCACTTGGTTAGCTCAAATTTACCCCTTCTTTCCTAAAAATCCGTAGTGACCAAATCATTTCCTAATAGAAGGTCTTTCCTTCATAGCATAAGGTCAAAAATGAATTTAACACAACTATTTTCTTTAAATACTCATGTCCTATATGCCCATGGGTTATGAATTTTCTGTCTAACACTCACAGAATCACATGGTCTTCACCTAAACTCTGTCTCTTCTGCTTAAGTGGCTCCTTTTGGTGTTGCTGGACTGAATGCCCATTTTCCACTGCTGTTCCATTCAGCAACTGATCATTTTGAGAACTGATACCAAGCTGTATGTCCAGAATCTCCTAAGAAAAAATGTTAACACTTCAGTATGAAATACTTTATACTTCAAAATTTCAAATGAAAAAAAGCCTCCTAATTATCTAACTGTTGCACTTACTTCAATTTGTTCACTTTGTCCATCAGGTTCATCAGTATCAAGTGCTGAGAGCTCTAACTCAATATCCCTATCGGGCTTAGTATCAGTTGCATCTTCTGTATAATCACTCTGTATAAGAAAAATATTGATTTTATACCTGTTTAACCTGGGCTTCCTTTTTAAATTAAAATGAGAATTCATTAACTAATAAATTATTATTTTTTAAATTTTTATTGTATTTTATAGCATTTTATCACTGTTTTTTTTCTAAATTTATTTCATTTTTATTTATTCATTTATTTATTTTAATTTAACCACAGAGAGAGAGAAAGTGAGAAAGCAAGCCACCAGGTCCAGGACTTGAACTGTAGTCAGCCATGTGGGAGTGTCCAACGCTTTAACCACCATGCCACCTGCTGGTCCCATCTAATGAATTATTTTGAAAACCAGGACTACATACAGAGCAGGCGGGTAGGGTGGAGGTTAAGGTGACATGAAGGTTAAAGTGCCTAGATCCCACATGACTGGCTGTGTGGTTTGAGTCCTGAACCAAGCAGCTTGAGAATCATGCCAAGTAACATGTGTGTGCATGCCCCAAATCCCAAGAGATTCAGAAGGGACTGCACATGGCTATCCCCCATACGGCACAGTGATCTCTCACTTTCCCTCTTTCTGTCTCTCTCTGGCTAGTGAACACATCCTATAGCAAACTAACAAAGAAAGAAAGAAAGAAATTAAAAAATAAAAATCTGGGAGTACAATTTTACTTCTAGTCAGTCTTTTTTTTTTGCCAGAGGGTGCAATATGCTCATGAAAGAGAGAAAGAAAACCTACCCTAAAGGTCATACTGCTATCCCTTCTCCATTCTTCTATCCTGTCAGGATTCTGGGTATGTACTCACACATGCCTGATATATTTTTCAAGCCATCAGGCCTGGGTTTCAAACTCTGTGATCAACCATGTGGGATTGGGCTTTCTTTTCTTTCCTTTTTTTTTTTTAAAAGAATTATTTAATTTTATTTAGTCATTCATTCATTTTTAAATTTGACCAGAGAGGGACACAGAAAGAAAGAGAGGGAAAATGAGAAAGCAAGCCACCAGGTCTGGGACCTGAACCATAGTTGGCCATGTGGGAGTGTCCAGCGCCTCAACCAATGTACCACCTGCTGGCCCCCATGAATTGGGCTTTTTTTTTTTTTTTTTGAGAGATTTTCACTGTAGGGCGCGTGCGCTCGCCAGACAGACAGAGAGACATAGAGACAGAAAGCGAGAAATCACCCCCCAGGGGGGATGGTCACGCCGCAATCCCTTCTCCTCCATT